TGTGTTGAAATTGGAATGGTTAAAACGATCATTTGTTTTTATCCGAACTGTTTATATACTTCAAAAGGAAAACAATATATTTTAATTAAATACTTACTAAAAACATGTATCATTTATCCATACATGACTTCATACATACAATACTTTTTCTTTTACAACGGTGAATATTATTATAAGAAACTAATAAGGTGCTAGATGAAATTACAAAGTACAATTACAAGCAACGATAGGATAGCAACACCAAACATTTCAATTTAATAGACTAAGATTTGCACGATGCTTGAACCATTTGAAAGAAAAAGGTTGGATCTCATCCGTTGTCTTCAAATGGGGACTCCTTAACTTTTTAAAAATTAAAGTATTTCGCGCTTTTAGATAACATAACAGAGTATATAAGGCCAAGTTTTAAGCCATATATCCCTGGAAAGGATATGCCAGACCATTTAAGCCATATATCCCTGGAAAAATGACAACTTAAATAATAAAAAACAGTCCTCAAGTCATGCATTCGTCAAGAGTTGAGAGTTGATGTATCTTAAAGAATTACGTGAGCCATTAAAACAACTCTATGTCGCAAACATTATTTAAAGCGCACACTTCGTTGTAAACATATAAAGTATTTATGTTTCTAGAAGTACATCCTCATCGTTAGATAAAACTGATATAATTAATTTATATTGTTAATGGAAACTAAATGCATGTACGACTAATACTTATTTTCGTTTATTATAATGCAATTTGCAATATAATAAGCATCGTATAATATACACTAAAATATTATAAATATAAAGCTCTACACATATTACACATACGAAATGTTAAGCCCGAGGAAATGATGTCACTGTTTTACCTTGACAAAGACACTATACATAGGATTTAAGTGTGGTTCGGGTGTATATAACATAGGATTTAGGTGTGGTTTGGGTGTTGTAAATCCATTGGCGAGTCTATATATAATCTAGGTGGGCAGACCCACCTAGGTTGAGAAAACGACTTATCAAGGTAATTAATTTTTCAGTATGTTCACATCTGGGTAATTATTATTTTTTTGTATACATCTAGGTAACAAACTTGTTGAAAGTGTTCACATATGACCATTATGACTTGCTGTAGCAGGTTACATCTTAGATGTGAACACTTTAAACAAGTTCGCTACCTAGATGTGTACAAAAAAAATAGTTACCCAAATAAGAACAAAACGAAAAGTAAAAGTAAATTACACGAATGGTCCCTGTGGTTTGGGGAATTTGTGTTTTTGGTCCCTAACTTATTTTTTTAACTCGGATGGTCCCTATTGTTTATTTTTGTTGCGCGTTTGGTCCTTGTCTTACCTAAAAAGACTATTGTGCCCTTATTAATTTATTTTTTAATTAATTTTCTTATTTATGTATTTATTTTTATATATTTAAAAAAATTAATAGACCTCACATATCTGTATCTCCTCACCGTAAACCTGAAACCACATTTGAGAAATTTAATTTGGGTCTCACCGGTCACCATCCTATCTCTCATCCTCCTCAACTTCTATTTCTTTTCCATCTTTAGTGACATCGACGTCTTCACCATGCTTCATTTTTTGGTCCTTCAACTCTAGCGAACCAACACCATACCTCACTGTCTCTTCATCTTTAGTGGGTTCACTCGGTTGTGGTGTTAATTCGACGGAGTTGAAGGACCGAAAAAAGAAGGGATGGTGAAGATGTCGATATCACTAAAGATGGAAAATAAATAGAAGTTGAGGAGGATGAGAGATGTGTAGGGTCTATTAATTTTTTAAATATATAAAGAATAAATACATAAATAAGAAAATTAATTAATAAGGGCACAATAGTCTTTTTAGGTAAGACAAATACCAAGATCATAACAAAAATGAACAGTAGGGATCATCTGAGTTAAAAAAAATAAATTAATTAAAAAATAAACAGTAGGGATCATCCGAGGAGATATATATATATGTGGGATCTATTAATTTTTTTTAAATATATAAAAAATAAATACATAAATAAGAAAACTAATTAAAAAATAAATTAATAAGGGCACAATAGTCTTTTTAGATAAGATAGGGACCATTCGTGTAATTTACTCTTACTTTTCGTTTTGTTCATATTTGGGTAACGACTTTTTTTGTACACATCTAGGTAACGAACTTGTTGAAGGTGTTCACATCTAGGATGTAACCTGCTACAGCAGGTCATAATGGTCATATGTGAACACTTCCAACAAGTTTGTTACCTAGATGTGTACAATAAAAAGATAGTTACCCAGATGTGAACATACCAAAAAGTTAATTACCTTGATAAGTCATTTTCCCAACCTAGGTGTGTCTGCCCACCTCTTCCTTTTCATAAGAAAATATATAGAATTAAATTTGTGACTTACCTTAATGAATGTACATAATTCAGTAAAACAAACTATGCAACCCATATTTTATATTTTAAAAGCTCAAAATAAGGTATACTCTAATATGAATAGGTGAATACAAGTTAAATTAAAAACAAAATGAAAAAATAAATAATAATCATGAATTAGTATTCGGTCACAAACATCGTTTCTTTCAAGCCTCAATTACCGCTTTACAAATCACAATCGTTGTTCACTATCTTGTGCGCCACACCACAATTGACGACCCATTGCGACGTGCAATTGTAAAAATGTTTTAAGCGTTATTACGACAGTAGATTATAAGCAAAATTAGTGATCAATTTTTAAGTGATAGTTTGGTATCATATATTGAAAAATATTTTAGAAAATATTAGTAATCATACAATTATGAAAATATATTAAGTTATAAGACGTAGTCGGGTACAATTGTAAGAACCTTAAATCTTTTTTAACTTATACAATTCGATCCGATTCAAACCCGCAACTAATATTTTTTAATTTATTTCATTTAATAATTGGTTTAGCTTAAATTGTGAACTATGTTATTTTACGTTCTAGACTCGCTATTGAGTCAAACCATGTGGTGGGTGTGGTGGAGAGAGAGAGAGAGAGAGAGAGAGAGAGAGAGAGAGCATGCGGCCAAACCGCAAGGGAAACCGTAGGGTGGGTGCGGTGTTCCCTTGGTCCAACCTGGCAAACCACGGTGGAGACCATACAAGAGCCTTGTAACGTTTAATAAAAAATAGAAAATTGCAAATTTTGTTTACCTTGTTACATTTTTGTTTTTTTTCCCAGTTTTCATCAAAAGGACAAAATTGCTATTTACAAAAATCTAATAGTCAGATTGTAAAACTAGACGACACAAGGATCAAAATCATTAGTAAACTCCAAAATAAGAACAAATATTGTAAAAGTATTTTCTTGGGACCAATGTAGACATTACCTATACAAAAATACCAAAATTTTGATTTATTCTAAAAATTCTTTAAAGTAATATAATTGGATTTTTATTCAAATGATTTAGTCGGGGTTGTGGCTAACATCAAGCTTTCTAATGCTTCAGATTCTTGGCTGTGGAATGCTGATGCATAAGGTATTTTTTCTGTTCGTTCATTGAGAATTTTGACGGTGGACAAAATCGTCGATGGCAACTCTGTTCGTGGATCATTTGGAAAACTCGTAATGTTTTAGTGTTCAATAGAAAGAGATGCTCTTCTTTTAAAGCGACGAATGATATTTAGTTAATATCGTTTAATTGGATTAAGCATCGTTCTTTTAATTTTGCTTCTTGGTTGGATTGGTGTATTTCTCCTTTTTTTTGTTTGTAGCATGTAATGTGTAAAATTTGTATTCTTTCTCTCTAACATCTTGCTAATTTAATGCATATGTCGTTCAAAAAAAATTATCAATAAAAGTTCATAAAAAAAACAATAAAATGTCGATATGAGACTAGTCCACTTGGTAGAGGTTTTGCTTCTTAAATTGGAGGTCCCGGTTTGTCATCCGGGCCTTAGCGAATTTTACTAATTCTGTGATATTAACATCTAATCACTAACTAGCCGTTAAAAAAAAGAATTTTTACTAATTTTGTAATACTAACTTCTAACCACTAACTAGCGTTAAAAAATATGATATAAATTATAATTGATGGGTTTTTATAAATAAATTGATAAAACTCATTCACTTTCATAGAATTTTTTAAAACTATTTAGGTTGATGGATGTTGAAATATCAGGAAAAAAGTTAACTAAAAAGGTTATTGTTATGGATGTTCTTAACCAACCACAGAATATTCAAAGTTTTACATGTTGACATCAGGGTGGCAATTTTAGGCACCATATACCAATTCTCAAATCCTCGTATATATCCAAACTAGGTGTGAGACTCGTGTATTACACGAGTTTATTAGAAAGACAAAAAGTAACCGTGTGAGCAAAAAAAGACCATTCACATAAGTTTTGGTAACCATAAGGACCAAGTTCATAAAAAAATAAGTAACTACTGAGTTTATAATCTTTGGTAAACTACATGACCATTCATTTAATTTGGTCTTAATTAATCTATACTAATAAAATTTATTACTATCAATTTACAAATGGAATGTAATATCTACATTAATATACATATATACATTAATTAATATATTAATTGAAAGAGGAATTCACAAATAGAAAGTTATTATGTGCATTAATTAATCTATTAATAAAACTAATTAATATGAGATGGTATTTAATAGGTAGAATTTGAATAAAAAAGAAAAAATATAAAAATGACAAGTGGATATTAAATAATTCAAAAAATCTAGAAAATGACAAATATCAAAATGAAAGAAAATAAGACACATGACAAAATCAATCTCTCAAAACATTCATTATCTTAGCTTTAGCTTCTTGAGACTACAAAACAAAAAACTCATCTACAATATTTAAGTTTTCTACGAGCATAAGATCAAATCATCTACAATATTTAAGTTTTCTACGAGCATAAGATCAAAACTGCAAATGAAAGGCAAAGATTTCAACCCTATTTTTAGATTTAGGTAGATCAAAATTCAAATGTGGATAAAGAAATGTTCACTTCTATTTATAGAAAGATGGTTACAATTAGACAAATCTTGTTCATTTCCAAGCGCAAGAAGCAACCAAATCTCTATCCATCCACCCAAGATACAAAGCGCCATCCCTTTCTTCAAGCCTATACCTCTCACTATACTTCTTTAACAACGTCTTAATTGTTCCATTAACCAAAGAACTCAACGGGTACGGGTTAAACCCGGCCATCCTAAATCTCAACTTCCATTTCCCAAGTAGCTCATGCCTTTCCACCCTCTCATTCCCCTCACATGCAATTATATTCACCACATCTTTTGCTAAACAATATTGTTCCACATTTATCCTCTCCTTATGCCCTCTTGGAAGACTCTCATCCATCGATTCAAACATCGCGTTATAGTAATCAAGAGCCTCAAGAAACCGAGGGTAAAACGGGGAAGTGTTCGTGTTCGATTCCTGCTCAACTAGGGTTACAACTTTCGGTTTCAAACTCTTCACCACCCGTAAAATCCGATCCCGGTGATTTTCGGTGCTCACACTTTCATCCGCCATGTGATGTAACACAAACGCGAAGTTAACCGCCAAAGCCTCCCCGGGCCGGAGTCGGAATTGGTCAACTCCGGCTTCGGAAACGGAAACGGAAATGGAATTGAACTCGAATGGGACATTGAAAGATCTCGCGAGCTTACACAGTCGTTGACCGACGTTTACCGACATGGAGTCGGTGAAGGCGGTTATACGGATCCGGGGCGGCCCGCCTCGGCGGGCAGCAAACGCTTGAATTAGCGGGACCCATTGACTTCCTTGACCGATCTGAAAGTCAACAATGTGGACCTTCTTTTCGTTCTTCATTGCCTCGGCAATCGCACCATTTGCTGACATGTAACCAAATTTGAAATATGGGCAGATTTCATGTAACATGTTTGTGTATGATAAAAGGTTGTGGGTCCCACTATTGCATAATGAAGTTTTTTGAGCTGAGAGGCGAGCCACGAGGCCTTCTAGCATGTAAGCTCCGAGGCGTTGGATTGGTTCTCCGGCGACTGACACCATCTCCCGGAGCTCCGATATTAAAATTCCGGCAGTTGAGAAATCGTTGTTTGAAATTGCATCTGCACACGCAATTAGAACCTGTTTCAGATCACGTTTTGGAACACCCTCCACCATTTCTTTCCAGATTTCCATGTCTTGAAGCTCGATTCCACCATTTCCAACCAAATCTTCATACAGATCTGAAAACATCACAGTCTCCAATTGCTTCAATTTATGCTTAAAGTTGACCAGGTCTTCAGTCACCGGGAGAAAAGGAGTTGTACATGGTGGTACAACTGTTATCTGTGGAGGAGGATTCCAGGGTGGAATATGGGTCGGGTTTGATGAACAGATTGCTTCTTCCATGGTTGATGTTATCTAAAGTCTGAAATTGGGGTTTATAAACATCGTATTCTTGCATTGATGGGTAATACCAGGTGTTCGACATGGTTGATCTTTTGTTTTGGGGTGATTGTGTAGAAGAACAGGGTACAACTCTCAATTGCAGACAGTTTCAACTTCAACGATCTGCACAAAAGAAGAAGCTTCATATGAAGAAAACGATTTTGAAAGTCATGGTCAAGAAATTGGAAAATTGGGGTGAATTCGGTCTATGTTCTCCATTGATTACATGGAAAAAAAAATTCGCTAAAAAGGCAACTATAATTTGTAAAGTCTTTATAGAAGTTAAAAAGAAAAGTGAATTAAATTCATAAGCATAAATCTGCACTGAATTCTAAATAGCTTAAGATTCATTAATTTATTGCAGAAAATTCCATTAAATTGCAAATAATTGAGGTTTTGAAAAGGACCCATCTCAAATTTTTAATCTTTTTGTGGAGATCACCCCAAATCGAATCGGATTTAAAACTATTAATCATTTTCAGACATTTTTACTTCTGGGTTCATCAAAATGGTATAAGGTTCCATTAAGTTTTACGAAAATGGAGTAACTTGCAAGAAATTTATGTCCTTAAACAAGAACCCATCCCAAATTTTCAATCTTCACTGAGAAATCCAAATTCGATTTGGCTTTTAAAAAGGTTCACCATTATCATACAATTTTTACTCCATCACAGCCACAAATTCAACAAAATGGATGAAGATGCCCTTAAACTGCAGGTAAATCGACAGTAATTCAAGAAAGTTATGCCTTTTTAACAAGAATCCATCTAAACTCAATGACTCGATCCTCCTTACTAAATTTCCCCCAATTTGGATTGGGTATGAAGCCCTCACCATCACCATCATCATCATCCATCTTTGCTCTGTCATAACCTCCCTAACCAATAAAACCCTAACTCTTATTCAAGTGCAACAAATTTCTATATACAAGCAAAAAAAACATTGATCATCCATCTTTTCTCCCAGGTAAAAGACATGCACAAAAACACACAGTCACACACCCACAGAGAGAGAGAGAGAGAGAGAGAGACCCACCTCTGAAGACACCATTAAAATGAATTCTGGAGCTGAAGTTTCTGCAGGAAAGTACTAAAATCGAAAAACTTATCAGTCCAGTCAAGTAAAGCATGAAGGGGAAGTTCTTGAAGAAAAAGAGGAGCAAGCTGATTGTGGAGATTCTGAATAATGAACAAAGATTTTATAGAAAAGAAGTGGACGAATGAGAAGAGTTATTTGGTGATAGGCATATGTAGGAGTACAACTTGGGTTTTGAATGCCACAGTGAAAACGCAACTGAAATGGGAATAGAAAGTTAATAGAGCCTAAAGAGGGAAGGAGGAGATGCAGGTCACCTAGGGGCTACCGGGCTAGGGGAAGGAGAGACAATGAGACATGTGGTGTTAATTATACAGTCGAGTTTGCTACGTGTTATTCAATTATAATAAAGTAAATACATCATAATCTAGAAAGATTTTCGATTAAATTTTAGAAGGGCATACAATTTTCGTCTTTGTAATTTCAAAACTGATCCCTGTAATCTACAATCACATGCGTCCTTTTTATCTTAAAAGTAATTTTTGTGTAACAAACTTGTTAAGTATTTATACATAAGAGTCCTGTTATAGACAAACCAACATATACCATCCTCATACATCAAGTTTATCTTTTAGGTTATTATTGCCTAATCATTTTTACCTTTTTTAATATTAGTTCACTATAAATTAGTTATTTTATTATTATATTATTACTAACTTTATAAGTTATTTGTTTATAAAATAAGACAAATAAAACAATAACAATAGTATTTTCTTTGGTTACATAATAATATAAATAATATTATAGAAAAATATATTCCGAACAAAAAAGATTGTTATATGTAAAGGTTTTCAAAATAAAAGAGTTTATGGCTGTTTTGATTTTTTTCTCTAAAACCTAAGGACGTCATGAATTAATTATATATATATATATATATATATATATATATATATATATATATATATATATATATATATATATATATATATATATATATATATATAGAGGGAGAGATAGGTTCAGGTGTTTAATGTATCTATTGTGTTATTGTACGCATAAATATGAGTCAATCAAAATTTAAAATAAAAATAAATAATTAAATAAATCAATGAGGGTTATTTATTAATTTGATAAATGAATTCTATAAATAGTCCCTTTATTTTAGGGATCCGTTTATTATTAACCCTATTAAAATCCACCTACACCGTAATAGGATCACACCGGTGAACTAAATCCTAAATCCGCCTCTTTCTTCCTCTCTGCGTCGTAGGTCACTTTCCTCATTGTCTCTATCACCGATTAATCGTTCTCCTCGCCACTGCTTCTTCCGCCTAATACCATTTACAGTTTCTGATGAAAATCAATGGTAGTGGCTCAATCTTCGTCGATCAATGAAACATACTCGCCTCTCCCCTCTCTTTACGCCGCCACCACTCAAGCTGCATCTCCCACAGTCTTTTCCCCCAAACAAACCCTAGAATTCCCCCTCCGAACCCCCAAACTCTTCCACCGATCGACATTTCTCCGCCCCGTTGCCACCGTCGCCGAGGGGAAGGTTGTAGAGCTAGGCGATGAAATTTCAAACCTAACCCTTGCAGATGCACAAAAGCTAGTTGAGTACCTCCAAGACAAGCTTGGAGTCATCGCCGCCTCCTTTGCTCCTGCTGCGGTTGTTGCTGCACCTGGCGCTGGAGCTGAAGCACCTGCTGTCGTGGAGGAGAAGACGGAGTTCGATGTTGTGATTGATGAGGTTCCTAGTAACGCGAGGATTGCGATGATTAAAGCCGTTAGAGCTTTGACGAGTATGGCGCTTAAGGAGGCCAAAGAGCTTATTAAAGGACTTCCGAAGAAATTCAAGGAAGGAATATCGAGAGATGAAGCAGAAGAGGCTAAGAAACAACTTGAAGGAGCTGGCGCAAAAATTTCGATTGTTTAGATCACGAATTTGTGGTAACTTTTTCTTTTTCATGTTTTCCTAATGCAATGTGTTATTAGTTCTTCAGTTTTGTAGTTGAAATTTATCATATTGCGATTTCATGCCTTAATTTACTCTCGATACTATCTTCATTTTCTCTGTTAAATCCGATGATGTTAAATATTAATACCTCCTGTAACTGATTTATCTGAAGCTTTTGCTATATGTTCTTACGATTCTCCAAAGTATCTATTATGATGAACATTACGAGATAGCAAAATATATATATATATATATATATATATATATATATATATATATATATATATATATATATATATATATATATATATATATATCTCCGAAGCTGTGGTTGCTTCATTTGACAGAAAAGAGTAGGAAGAACAATGGTGATGATCTCTTCATTGATTGGGTATGTTTCTTTTGATTGAGTTTTACAAGTTAAATAGATAAAAAAAATCAATTATTTGGATGATCTTATTGTATGGTTGTGAATTTTGATAGATATGGAGTACATTGTGATCTAAGGGAAAGAAAACATAAACATGTGGTACAATTCTTGAGTTTGACATGAAGAAGATAAAACGAATCATGAATTCCAATTCTAGTGGAATGGAATCATGAATTCCAATTCTGTTGGAATCTAAACTACAATTTGGTTTTGTTTTGATAGAAATTGATGCTTGAAAAACGGACCGCAAATTTCAAAGTGATTCTAAGCATTCTCAGAGAATATTATTCTTACATGATTTGATTCATGGCGGTTATTTTCGTTAAATGTCTAATTTCATGGATGATCAAGGAAAGAGCTATTCTTCTGATAGAATAATCTACAATAGAATGATAGGAGTATATGTAATAATATATTTCTGCTAGAATATTCAGGTCGAATAATATACATATTTTTATTTGTTATTAGTGAGTATTTCATTGTCATAGAATATTATATAAAGTTTTTACTTTTTTAAGAATGTAATGAAATATTTGAAGTTGTATCCAAAAATGTGTTATTAGTCGGTGTTCGCATTCTCATAGAATATCATTCTAATAGAATATGTATCCTGAAATTCGTAGAAAATATGATTTTAACAGAATAAAATCGGGTTTAATTATAAAAATTACGTTATAATTAAAATTAAAGTAATTAAAAAAATTAGAATTTTAAAATCAAGAGAATTAATTATCCCAAAAAATATGGAATTTTCCTTTTTTAAATTTATCTCAATTGTCTAAAATACCCTTAGAATGATATTAAAATGGTATTTTTCAATTATCTTTAATTTAATAATATATATTAATCACTTTCTTAAATTAAGTAAAATAATTGGTCCACATTTATACATACAATAACACAATAATTAGTTTAAATAGAATAACCTAAGAATATATATATTATATATATATATATATATATATATATATATATATATATATATATATATATATATATATATATATATATATATATTATGAGTAGCAGATTAGTTCTTTGAAATGTATTAACAACTACTTTGGCTTACATGTAACTATTTACATACAGTAAATGAACGATTTATACGATTGTAAATAAACGGAATATAATATTTGTTCGACTTTTTAAATAGAACTCTTCAAATCTCCAAACAAATTTAGCAATTAGACCACTACAGTCTCTATTAAACCCAAACTATTTCAAATTAAAAAATCTATTTATTCGGAAAAGAAAATTTATATATATATATATATATATATATATTATATATATATATATATATATATATATATAAAGAGAAAAGAAAATTTATTTATTCGGAAAACAATGTAACCAAAAAAATTATTAATGATAATAATTAGATAATAAATATGTTGATTAAATAGATATAATAGACTAGTGTGCATTAGGTGTGAATTAGATTGGTGTGTCCAAAGAAAAATCCATACATATAATCATTATGACCAGCTGTAAGAAGTCACAACCGGTCATAATTGTCATATGTAAACACTTCCAACA